CTCTCTCTCTCTCTCTCTCTCTCTCTCTCTCTCTCTCTCTCTCTCTCTCTCTCTCTCTCTCTCTCTCTCTCTCTCTCTCTCTCTCTCGCTCCCCCGCTCCATCCCTCCCTCCCTCTGTGCCTGGGTGTGACACGAAAATCAACAAAACTTGGGATAAGCTGGTCGTCTGGACTGAGCCAACGACGTTATTGAGAGAGATCGAAAGAAATGGCACGCAAGCAAAGCGGGGGGCCAGGCTGCAATGACGGGAACTGAAGAAGCCGGAGCTTAGGTCGCCATGGGGAAGAGAGATGGGTAAAGCAGGTGCAGACGGATATTGCCACAGGATGTCGAAAGATGGAGAGTCGAGTGGAAAAGGAGGAGGACGAAGAAGAGGAAGAGAAAGGATAAGGGGATCGCGGCTTACCTCTTTCGCGCGGAGCTGTTCACCACTCCTTCGGCCAAAAAAAGAAGCTTCCACTCTTGGCGGCTTCCAACATCAATCTAGAGCAGCAGACTGCTCGTGTTTCCTCTCTCTCTCTCTCTATCTATCTCTCTATCTATCTATCTATCTATCTATCTTGTGTGTGCCGAGACAGATTCTTGGGACCGAACCCTCTCTCTCTCTCTCTCTCTCTCTCTCTCTCTCTCTCTCTCTCTCTCTGTGTGTGTGTGTGTGTGTGTGTGTGGCAAGCACAACCCCTCCCCCCTCCTCCCCGCACCCACACGCACGCAGACGCACACATGCTCACGCACGCACGAACGCGCGCACACAACCGCACCCACGCACGCGTGCACCACCGCACACCACCGCAAGCCCAGGAGACACGGCGGTAGGACCTATCGGTACCGCCAGGCCAATTCAAAGTCTATCGGGGCCGTTGGCTTAGTAGTCACGGACCGACGGCCACCACCAGTACTTCCTAACATCGTGCCCGTATACAAGCCTGCTGTGTACCGTGCAGGGCGCGGGAGCGCAGCCAATAGGGGGCACGGTCCCATTTACACGAATTAAGCGATATTGACCGTAGATAGCAAAGATCAAAACGGCCAGAATCTCTTAATGCGTGCTGCCCCCGGAGCGAGGAGCAGGGCAGGCGAGGTGGCACTTTTGTCACTCCTCCCGCCTCCACCACCATCGATCGACCGCCGTGGACTCTGGGCCTCGCCACACCATTCTCGAAACAAAGGGCCTCGTTCCACTGTGTTGGCAGCCCGTCAGGAATGCGCTTTCCCTCCCTGAGACATTCAACGTCAACGTCAATTTCAACGTTAATTTCAACGTTAGTGGTCGTCGGGAGGGTGGGCATTTGAGGTTTTGGGGCCTTGCAAGGGCCAGGAACGCGTAGGACCGGTAGCTGCGAGTTCGCAGCCCGTCAGGGATGCGCTTCCCCCCCTGAGACATTCAACGTTCAACGTCAAATTTCAACGTGGTGGTCGTCGGGAGGGTGGTCATTTTTGGTTTTGGGGCCTTGCAAGGGCCAGGACCGCGTAGGACAGGTAGCTGCGCGGTCCAGGACCGGTAGCTGCAAGTAGGAGGCCGAGGAGGCCGCAGTCCTTTTTCGAAATTGAAACGGTGCGGGTAGTCCTTTTTCGAAATTGAAACGGTGCAGGTCCTAAACGTTGTATTCGAATACAACCTGTACTGTACCCTTTCTATTCGGATTTCGAAAAGAAAAAACTCTTGTATTCCGATAAAATTACTTCTTCTTTTTGTTGGAGGTCAGCGCCTGCCCTTGCTCCCCGCCACTGACATG